GAAGTAGGCATGATTGTTGTGATTGTACCCAGGCCATCGCGATCAGCATGTGCGGCAGCAAGCACTGATTCCCGGCTCATGTGTGTTTTCTGCTCCGCTCGTGGCCTTCCCTCGACACCCGAAGGTCCCTGAGCCAAAACGAGCTCACCACGCTACCTGAGGGAATCTTCGGGGGTCTCACGGCCTTGGAATCACTGTAAGAAGCTGTTGGACAAGGTTGTCGGTGGAATGGCATGGGGCTAGCTTGCGATAGAAAACTACGAGATCGCAGACAAATCGTCCCCATGACCCATTCAACCCCGACTAGCGCGGCGGCAAGCAGTTGGTAGGAAGTTCGGTGTAGAACAGGTCGGGGGTGTCTGAATTCACCTCCAGCCCGTTGCTGGAAACGTGAGCACCAAGGATCGTGCTACGTATCGGGATCAGTTGTCGCTTCCTGGCATTCGCCGTAGAGCCTCTACGTGATGGTGTTCTGTTGGCCACATGTCCTAGCCTCTTCTCCGGCTCGGGATGTACTCAATCTAACCCTGGAACGTGTTCCCGCTGCCAACTCGTCGCCTTCGCGGTAGCCAGAAGTAGGCATGTTTGTTGTGATTGTACCCAGGCAATCGCGATCAGCATGTGCGGCAGCAAGCACTGAATCCCGGCTCATGTGTGTTATTTGATCCGCTCGTGGCCTTCCCTCGACACCCGAAGGTCCCTGAGCCGAAACGAGCTCACCACGCTGCCTGAGGGAATCTTCGGGGGTCTCACGGCCTTGGAATACCTGTAAGTAGCTGTTGGACAAGGTCGTCGGTAGAATGTTTTTCCGCATGGGGCTAGCTTGCGATGGAGAACTACGAGATGGCAGACCAATCGTCCCCATGACCCATTCAACCCCGACTAGCGCGGCGGCAAGCAGTTGGTAGGAAGTTCGGTGTAGAACAGGTCGGGGGTGTCTGAATTCACCTCCAGCCGGTTGCTGGAAACGTGAGACCAAGGATCGTGCTACGTATCGGGATCAGTTGTCGCTTCCTGGCATTCGCCGTAGAGCCTTTACGTGATGGTGCTCTGTTGGCCTCATATCCTAGCCTCTTGTCCGGCTCGGGGTGTACTCAATCTAACCCTGGAACGGGTTTCAGCTGCCAACTCGTCGCCTTCGTTGTAGCCAGAAGCAGGCATGTTTGTTGTGATCGTACCCAGGCCATTGCGATCAGCATGTGCGGCAGCAAGCACCTGAAGGGCACAACCGTATTGACGTGCCCGGAGCCCGAGGCGAGGGTGAGCCAGATAGACCAAGGCACACGGGGCTCCGTGTATCACACCTATCGTTCTTTTTCGGGCAAGGGTTTCCTCTCCCCTGTTTGGGTTGGGGCAACAGTACACTGTTGATTTATCCAAGTATCAAAACATGCCATTTTTTCCCGAAATGCGCTCAAGCTTATGTGAGGCATTTTGTGTAATCAACATCGACACCCGTAAACACTCCAGTTTTGTCTTCCTGGGAAAGCCTAACTCCGTGGGTTTGCGTTTGGTGTGCAAAGACATCCTTCCAATATCGAGGATGCGCCAGGCCATTTTCCCTCGTGAGATGAACCTTGCCGGGGATGATCAAGTGCTGCGGAAGTACAGCTTGTCGAAGGCCGCTGTGCATGCAGTGGGCTTGACCTACAGTGTAATTGGCACTTGAACACGGGGCGGAACATATTCCGTTACTCTAGTATTCGAAACGTCGTCGGTACACAATCCAACGGGAATTCATGGCTAACTTGTGGCTGCCTTGTTCCGCTGATGGCCTCCCCTTGGCACTCGAAGGTACCTGTACGACAACATCCTCACCACGCTGCCTGAGGGGATCTTCGGGGATCTTACGGCCTTGACGTTGCTGTAAGTAGCTGGGATACTTCTCCGCATGCGCTCAGCCCGTGCTAGACAAGAGGAAATAAACATTTTTCCGGTTTGCAGATCTGCAGTCGGTGCATGCGTTAACTGCTTTCTTTGCAAGGGAGAATGTGGGGGTCGAACGAGTAGTCTGGAGATGCTGGGGAGAGTACCATTGCACTAGGGGCGCAACTGCTGTCGAATCTGCGAGAGTTTGTCTCTTTCAAATCAGCTCGCTTGCTCTAACCTGGCGTCAACGTTGATGGTAAGCAGCGCATCCGGAAAAAGGGTAGCTGATGCAGTTCGGACGCCCTTCGGTTCTGATATGATTGACCGTTGGCTTCGTTGATCGAGAATGGACCTCTTCTAACTCTGTACTTGTCTCGTACAGATACTGAACGGTCTACAGTAATCACATCTATTACGGCATTCTGTTGGTTTCGTGTGTCTATATTCCGTTGGTAATTGGGGGCTTCAGAGGCCAGGTAGTTCAACGTGCTGCGATCACCTGCGTAAGAAATTCATTCGTGGTCCACATGATACTTCGCCGGGGCACTACCTATTTGTGTGATTTCCTCATCTCAATATTTGGCATAATGGCTTCAACCTGCCGGTTCTCTGGTGGATCCTCTCCTGCAAACGAGGACACCTGCAAAGCGAGAAGTTGTGGTTGTATTTCGCGCTTGTCGGGAATTGCAGGCATGCGTTGGCCCGAAGTAGCGGGCAATAATAATAGTTTCCCGACATGGCACACTGTTTTGGGTGCCCCTCTTGCAGTATATCTCCTATATCTCAAGCCCCTCCGGTTTTACTGAAAGTCCTCTCTTTCCCTCGTGAGATTATCATGGATCTGTGGATTTCCTCCCAGGCAAAAGTATGGTCCTATACTTGAATTACCATTTTCGCTCTACCTGGAACACCATCGGCGCGGTGCTGCGGCAATGATTTGTTGCTGTGATAGGCGATGGCTCCTCACCAACTGTTCGTATCGTTATTGGCCATCATGCTAACCTTGTTCCTTCCCCAACGTATGATCCGTTGTTGCATCTGCCGCTCTCGTCCGGTCATGCGCCGGCAAATCTCGTTCGGTACCTGAATTTTAGGCACCTGGAGGGGAATTCTCTGGAGTGCTTGCCTTCAAATGAACTGTGAGCAACGCTTTGTAATACATACGAAGAGAAGAATATGGACCCTATCGCGTAATGGCGGATCCGGCCCGCATCACGTAGATACCGAGCACGCCTGTTGTTTGCCGCTGCTCGCGATATGGGACGGATGCTTGTTACTACGATAAGCAATTGGTGTTGATGCAGGTACCCTAAATAGAAACGTGATTCGTCGAACACTACAATAGTCTTGAGCTACCGCGTTGGCCAAGTTGTTCTGATTTCGCACGCGTGTTGCGTGGACTCTGAGCGCGTCTAAATAATGCATGGCATTGATACCCCGGTCGGTACCCTCGAAACCTTCTAGAGGTCAGGTGAAGGGTTGAGATCCCGGCGTAAGCGAGCTTTTCTTGCAAAGTGAGTTTTTCTCTTGCTTCCGCTCCTGGCTTATTGGATGGCGCTACTGTAGTTCGTCGTGTGTACACAGAGGGAAGAGTGCTGAACTCTTCTCGCATGAAAATCGAAGGCAACGTACCGCAGGAGGGGAGCGTAGAGTAAACGGCACTAGTGCTGTGAGCGCTGATTTGGAGTGCAAAAAAACAAATTTTTCGTGTAACCGTCTTAAAGGAGAGTTTTACCGGGCATTCTCCTTCCTGCTTTACCCATGGAGCATGTTCATTGATACATTGCATCGTAGATCGACCTCGCCTTATTTGCTTCGACTGTCTGTATAGCGAGACCTGTGTGACCTCCTGTGCGCACTTCGCAGGGTGGAAGTTGATGATGATGCCTCGTTATCTGCAGCCGGGCTTCACGTTGATGCATACGGTGACGAATGTGGTGAGTGTCTTGCTGACAACGGTGTACCGATGGGCTTGGGGCGGATAGGTGCTCACCGGTAGCATGTTGCTTTTGCTGCGTCCTAGTCTGCCCCACGAAGGTACCGGGTCGACCAGTAGCAGTTTGCGCGGGATTTTGTTTTTCGCTCCGTTCCCCATTCGAGGCACGACATGGTCGAAAGGAGATGCAGCGTTGATTGAGCTCAAAACTGGCTCTTACTCGGTGCAAACCTCTGCGCGAGACTGATCTCGAAGGTAACCGTCGGGCGAGTGATGGATTTAGGCATACTCAGTTTGAGAAATATGTGTTGCCATCGCTCTCCCTGAGTGGCACTAGGGCTTGTACCTTCATGTGCAATATCCTTGATGCGCCCCCAAACACTGATTTTCTTTGAACGTTTTCAGGGTGCTCTATTGAGGGCGTAGTCGACAACGTGTGTGGCGAAGAAATATGCACTCCCGGAGATGAAGGGTACACGTGTGGTGAGAGAAGACAGGCCCGAAAGGCAACTCTGTAGTAAATTATCGTTCAAGTTGCTCCTCTTGATCGAAGGGCTTGGGCAGCAAGGAACTGATACTGTCCAACACTGATAGTCTAGATTCATCACAAGAGGTGCTTCCCGGTGTCTCGGAAGTAAGTTCGACCTTAGTTTAGCATGCTCAGGTTGCACCAAGACGCCGTCTGCTACGAGAACAAGATTGTTCAGAGGTTCAGCTGATGGCCTATGAAGGTAGCAAGCTGACATGCATCTTCATATTCGATGTTGTGATAACTCCTCTAGAGATCAGCTTAACCGACCGCAAACCCATTCATTACTGTAAATGACCTTCTCAGGAAGTTATTTCAACGGACTAATTATTCCCCCAACTGGCTGAGTGCACGAAACCGTACCACCAAGGGATGGTGGTCTGTCATTCTTGCCTTGTTGGCTTGGCTTTCCGCTCCTCTGGCTGGAGGAATGTAGGGTCAAGCATGAATAACTGGCGAAGCTCTGGATTGTCTAAACGTCTAACCTCAAATTCGTCTTTCAATACCCGCCAACCTGGCACTCGCTGCAGCGGCCACGCTTTCGGCTTCGCCTACGCCCGCGCCAGAATCTGCGCCAGGGTCGAGCCCAGAAGGTAAGGGACTTGATGCCGCGTTTCCCGTTCAACAAGCGCATGCTGTATTGTCAAAGACAGGCACAAGGCGGTCGAATATTGACATATTCCCGGCTTTGCTCCAAACATGCCCAGTTCATGACTGTCCGGAGTGATTTACTTCCGCACCAAGCACCGGCCGCCCTTGTGAAGGCTACGGGAATCCACCCGCATTGTGACGAGGCTAGTAGTCAACACCGCTAGTGATTGAAAGGTCTCAGCGTCCCCTAGTTCTGTTTCCCAATCTCTGTTGATTGTGTGGTTCTTACGTGCTGTATGGGTCATCGCAATTTCATTGGTCGGTCGATTTTTCATAATCAAATTTCCCGCTTTTGACACGCGTAACAGTGGTGGTATCTTCGCAGAACGCCGACGTGAAAGCGAAATGTCGCCTCCAATTAGCGACCGAATGCGGCCATTTTGTTGTTTTTCTGCGGGTTAAATTGCTCGGCGCTGCTGTCTTGTACGGGGTTACTCTTTGCCTCAAGTCTTCTGTTCTCACACCATTCCCAGTTACCGCCCTCCCACTGGTCGCGTCAGGAGAACGGTTGGGGTGTGGGAGAGTATGCATCACAACGCAGACGAGAGTGGCTTTGCTGACATGAGCCCGTCTTGAAACCCCCATGGACAAAAGTATGTCTGGTCTCTCGCTCGCATATATATGTTGGCCTTTTTCTTTGCGGTGCAGTGTTGACTTGAATGAAGCAACCCCCATCGGTTCCCTCGTCGAACTCCTTGCGGTATACTCTTCCGTAGGATTAGACGTTCGCTTGTTCAATGTGTCTTGTGTGTACCTAAATATCTCTCCTCAGCTTACGGCTTACCTGCAGGCAGGGTAAAGCCCGTGGCCTCAAGGGCTTCTGGCCAATGTTTGAGAGCGAGAGGGGGTCCACCTTCACGGTGGATAGTTGTT